TTTCCTTCCTCCTTTCTTTCCTTCCTCCATCTATCTCTCTTTCTCTCTCCCTTCCTTCCTTTCTCTCTTTCTCTCTCCCTTCCTTCCTTTCTTTCTTTCTTTCTTTCTTTCTTTCTTTCTTTCTTTCTTTCTTTCTTTCTTTCTTCCTTTCCTTCCTATCTTTCTCCCTTTCCTTCCTATCTTTCTCCCTTCCTCCCTTCTTCCCTTCCTTCCCTTCCTCTTTCCTTCCTCTATCTCTCTTTGTTCCTCCCTTCCTTGCTTCCTTTTTTCCTTTCTTCCTTCCTCCTAGCCTTCTTGCCTCCATCCATCCCTCTTTCTTTCTCCTTTCCTCCCTTTCTTTCTTCTTCCCTCCCTTCTTCCCCTCATCCCTCTCCTCCTCCCTCCCTCCCTCCCTTCCTTCCTTCCTTCCTTCCTTCCTTCCTTCCTTCCTTCCTTCCTCCTTCCTTCCTTCCTTTCATTCAGTGAAAAGAACTCTGGAGCAAACCACTGCAGTATCTTTGTCAAGAAAACCCCAAATGGGGTCATGGAGAGGTGGGCGTGACTGGAAAATGACTTAAAAACAACAAAGCATATAAAAAGATACAAGGTTGTTTTAGGAGGTTGGAGCAGTCAGTTAGAAAGGCTTCATGTAGAAAGTGTTGCTTGACATGAGCCTTGCAGAAACCTAGGAATTCTAAGATGAGGGAAGAGCACCTTTCGGATATAGGGCAAAGGCATAGAGATGGGGGATGGAGTGTCCCATGAAAGGAAAAGTTAAAAATTCATTTTGGCTGGACAATAATGTATATAAAATGTAATAATGTGTAAAAGGGATGGGAAGATAGATTAGGGTCAGCCTGTTAGGGGTTTTAAATGTCAAATTGGAGTTTTTAATCTGACCTTATAGGAAATAAGGAGGCATTGGAATTTATTGCTTTTGGGAGGGGGGAGGGGGGGAGGAGGGGGAGGAATTAGAACTTGGAGAGACTTGCATGAAGGTTGGTTATTTAATCAAGTCAACAACTGGAAACAATTGTGATAATTAAATCAACAAATCAAGTCAATTAGCATTTATTAAGCACCTACTATATGCCAGGCACTGTGCTAACTGCTGGTGATGCAAAGAAAGGCAAAAAATTAGTCCCTGCACTCTAGGAGATCGCAGTCCAGAATTAATCTGCAAACAACTATTTACAAATAATGTATGTTCAAGATAAATTGGAGATAATCAACAGAGACTAGGCATTAGCGATTAAGGGGATCAGGAAAGGCTCCTTGCACAACATAGGATTCTAGCTGGGACTTGAAGGAAGCCAGGAGGCAAAGAGAAAGAGGGAAAGAATTCCCAGCATGGCTAGCCAGTGACAATACATTGAGATGGGAGACAGGGTAAGAATACTGGAAAGGTAGGGAAGAGCTGGGTAATAAGGGGCTTTAAAAGCTGAACTGAGGTTTTTATATGTAAACCTGTAGGTAATAAGGAGCCAATGGAGTTTTTTAAAATAGGGTAATGATGTGATCGAGGCTGTGCTTTAGGAAGATCAATCTGACAACTGAGGTGTGAATATACTGGAGTGGGGATAGACTTGAGGCAGAGGGACCAACCATTAGGCTATGGCTGTCACAGTAGTCCAGGTGTGAGATGATGGGGCCTCATGCAAGGTGGTAGCAATGTCAGAGGAGAGAAGGGGATGCAATCCAGGCAAGAGGTGATAAGGGCCTGAACCAGGATAGTGAGGTCATGTGAGGGAAGAAGGAGACAACTTCAAGAAATGTAATGAAGTAGAAATGACAGAATTTATTAGTGAGTTCAGAAGTCTACACCGAGATTGTTAACTTGGGTGACTAGAAGGATGTTAGTACAATTAACTGAGATAAAGAAGCCTGTTTTAGGGAGAAAGATAATGAGTTTTGTTTCTAAGATGTTGAGATATTTAAAGGACATTGGGAGGAGGGAAGGGAATAAGCTTTTATATAGTACCTCCTGTGCGCCAGGCACTGTACAAATATTACCTCATTTCACCTTCATAACAACACTGGGAAGTATGTGCTACTATTGTTCCCATTTTACAGTTAAGAAAACTGAGGCAAGCAGAAGCTAAATGACTTGTCCAGGGTCACACAGCTAGTAATTGTCTAAGGTTGGATTTGAGTTTACACCTTCCTGACTCCAGGCCTAGTGCTCTATCCACTGAGTCACCAGCTGCTTCTAGATCTGAGAAGTTCAATATTCTGTTCTTGATACATGACTAGATCTGGAGAGAGATTAGGGCTGTATAAGTGGATATTACACTCATCAGCATCAAAATCAGAGTTAAAAATTATGGTAGTTGATGAGGTTTACTGAGAGTGTGTAGAGAAAGAAGAGGAGAGTGCTTAGGACTGAGCCTTTGGAAACACACAGTTAGACTTGATAGAAACGATGATCTAGCAGAAGATACTAAGACAGAGTAGATAGACAAGAAGAGACTCCAGAAAATAGAAGGTCCCAGAAACTCAGAGGAGAAAGTGTCCAAGAGGAGAAGGTGGTAAACGATTAAATGTGGCAGAAATGTTGAGGAGGATGAGGATTTAGAAAAGATCATCATATCTCTAGGTTTTGAAGAAAGGAAGAAAGACAGAGGACAATAGTTTAAAGACATGGTAGGCTTGAAAGCCTGAAGGTATGAGAGACTTGGGCTATTTGTAAGCATCGAGGAAGGAACTGGGAGATAGAAAAATTAGGACAAAGGGGAGAGGGAGACAGAAGGTGGGGGAGGGGGAGACAGAGATTTTAAGTATCATTTGATAGAGCAGAAGATGGGAAGAAATTCAAAGATTAGCCACCTTATTATGGAATAATAAGACTTAAACAAAGAAGGTGAGAATAGGTAATAATGACAAGGGGACTGTTAGATGTAGAGTAGGGGACATGTAGAGATGTCCCCTGTGACAGCTCACACTCTGAATGGTCTCTATTTTTTCAATAAAATATGATGAGAGGTCCTCAACCACCATTGTGGTATAGTATAAAAGACAAGTAACAAAGAGAAGATTAGCAACAGTTACACAGGAGAGATCTTTAGAAAAAAATAGGGGTAAAGAAAAAGATTATTTTACTACAGTGAGAGCTCAATGGAGGTTAGATAATATAAATTTGTCATCGACCCAGTCAGCATGATTGTGTAACTTCCTCCAGTTACTTTCAGTAGCACACGAGTAAGAGAGAAGGGTGATGGATGTAATCCAGGGTTAGGTTTGGCAATGTGTGATAGGTGGTATGACAAAAGAAAAAGTGATTGGAGAGGAAAGTGTAGAGTTGAATTGGTTCATAACAGCGAAAGGTAGGACAATGAAGCTAAAATAGAGGTGATGGCCTGGGAAATTACTTCTCATATTTGAGAATGGTCAGGAAAATAGAGGGAAAAAGATGGAATGATAGATGATTTTGATAGGATGAAGGAATTTCAGAATTCATTTTCATGGAAAGGGAACAATTATGGGTGATAATATCTACTTTATAGGGCTGTTGTGAGAATCACTCAATCAGCAAACATTTGCCAGGGGATATAAAGAAAGACAAAAAAAATGGTACTTGCCCTCATGGAACTTATATTCTAATGCAGAAGACATAAATAAGTATCTGTAAGATACATCACAAAGTAAATGGAAGCTAATCAGATAATATATGTGAGACTATATAATGCAAAGTACTGTACAAATATGTCATTATTAATTTCATATATAATTGAAGTGAGAGGCAAGATGGGATAGTGGATAGAGAACTGGCCACAGACTCAAGAAGACCTAGGTTCAAGTCCCTCATCTGACAGAGAGTGGCTGAACAAGTCACTTAATTCTTCCATGCCCAGGTACTCTCTGAACTAAACAGCTGCCAACTTGCATTGCTAGAGGGAGTTTCCTGCAAATCAAAGACAGAAGGAATGAACGATTGAAATAGTGCAAAATATAAGGTGTTGTTGATATATTAATAACTATAGAGGGCCTTGAAAGAATGAAGCTCTGAGAGTCTGATGGTCTTGATCAAGAAAGGTAATTATAGTGAAAGTTAAGACTTTCTTTGCATAGGTTAACTAGATGTGATTGGATTCTTTGCCTTACTTAGTATACACAGACACATCCAGTGAGTAGGCAGTGAATGTAAATATTCAACTAATTCCTCATAATAAGTTTATCTCTCCTTTCAACCACTCACTCAAGTCTCAGAATGTTTTTTTGTGTGTGTGACCATTTTTGTTTTCCAGAAATGTTTATAAACCATCTGATTCTCATGTGTGTTAGCCTTGTGGAAAGGTGAAATTCAAAACCAATAAGTAGGTGTGCTATAGAGAGATTAATGCGCTGGATTAGCCCCTGCTGCTGCTACTGCTGTTTTAAAAATCCCTATCCACAGATTTTTTTTTCAAATTACCTATGAGGTTTTGCATAATCAGCTTCTTTATCTACTTTTCCTTTTCTTTTCTTTCTTTTCTTTTTGAGATTAGGTCAGCAGTGGCCACTCACTAGCCCAATCCTGCTGCTGATTGACATGGAAAGTTTATTCTATTTCTGACCTGGGCCAGTTTTTTCTTCCTTCTGCAGCCTATTGACCCCTGCTTTCAGGGGCTCGCCACCTTGGCACCCAGTTGCCTTTAGAATTACTACAACTCAAAACTCCTGATCCACTAGTCTCAGCCTCTTCTAGCAGCAAACATCACATGCACCATTATGCCTGGCCTTCATCTGAAATTAAAACAAAAACAAAAACAGGAAGCACATCTAATAATTCTTTGAGCTAATTGAGTTACATGACTCCTTTTTGAGAATTTATTGTTTTTCAGTCCCTTCCAGTTATGGTCAGCTCTTCATGACCCCATCTGGGGTATTCTTGGCATAGATACTGGAATGATTTTGTCATTTCCTTCTCCATCTTTTCGAGAATACTTCAATCTAATAATGGAACTTCTCCTTTCTTTCTAGCCTCCATTCCTCTTTGGATGTGTTACAATAATTCTATACTTTGCTTTGCTTTTCCCATCCAGTATTCTGGCAACTGAGCACCTTTGATTATATGACCCAGGGACATCAAAAGCAAAGCACAAATCCCCAAATCAAGATTTCTTCACCACTAAACTCCTCCGTTTCTGTGACTGAGGTAGGCATTTAACAGGCATGATTTAGCTTACTTTTTAAAAAATTTTTATTCTTGTGGAAATTGTAAAAAGTTGGTCAAATTGGAAAATTCGCTGGCATTACCAGGTTTATTGACTGATTCAATCATTGAGTTCCTTGCACATAATATACAGATGAATCCTTTTAAGAATTAATTTGTAAGAATTACTTTGTAATTATTTTTTAAAGAATATACATATTCTTTATGTAATTCTGTAAGACTGCTTTGAAATAATTTTCATAAATTCTTTTTTTATGTAAGAATTTTATAATTTTTACAAATTTCAAGAATTTATGAAATTTTTTTGGTAAACATTTAGAATTTCTCTGTAAGAATTTACAAAGTATTTGTAAAGAATACTTTGTAAGAATAAGTTGAGCCAGGTGACAACTTTTAGTTTTAGCTTTTCTCTCAATCATTCCTGAGGAGAGCCACCAGTGAGTTTTTATAGATTATTTTTAAACAGGGTTGATTAATATGTCAGTTTGTTTAATTTCCTTCATGATAATTCTTATTACTTCATTCAGTGTCAGACACTGAAGAGCTATACTTGCTAGCATAGAGATATAAAATGAATTTTTGAAAAAAAAAAGATGTAAAATACAAACTCTCCAAGGGCAGATATTATTTCATTTTTGTCTGTATGTAACCAACACCTTACACATAGGCAGCTAGGTGTCACGGTGGCTAATATGCCAAATTTTGAGTGAGGAAGACCTCAGTTCAAATCCTGCCTCAAATACTTACTTGCTATATGTGACTTTAGGCAAATAATTTAACTGCTGCTTGCCTCAGTTTGTAAAATGGAGTTAATCATAGACCTACCTCCCAAGTAGGCTGTTGTTGTGAAGATCCAGTAAGCTGATTTTGTAAAGTACTCTGCAAAACTTAAAGCACTATATCAATATTGGCTAGCGCTTATTACTAGGCCTTGAAGGAAAAGGATTTCAACGATCAGTTCCCTGAGGAATAACCTGAGCAAATCCGTGGAGGTGGTAGAGCACAGGATAAGATTGGAAAATTGTGTAAATGAAGTCATTTGTCCCAGCTCTGCTACTTACTTCCTGTGTGACCTTAAACAAATGAAATGATTTCACCTCAATGACCTCATCTGGAAAATTAGGAGATTGGACTAGATATCTAAAGCCTTTCTTTAATGTCCTTTTAAATACCATGACTCAGTGAATACCAAGTAGTTTGATTTGATAGGAACTAAGTTTTGGAGGTCATCCACTCCTAGAGGGTAAGAGAAGGAAGAGAAACCAGCAAAAGAAACTGAGGAGTGGGGCTGGTGCCATTCAAAAACAGGAAAAAGCAAAGTTAAGAGAAGCTCAGAGAGGAGTGTATTAACACAAGAGGGTGGTCATTAGGATCAAATGCTACAGAAAGCTCAAGAGGAAATGAGGATTTAGTAGCAAAACTGGAATTTCTGCTTAACAGGCAACTTTGGAGAGAACAGTTTCAGTAAATGGTGGGGAGAGAAGCAAGATTGAAGAAGACTGAGGAATGAAGAATAAAGGGGAGAGACAGAGTAAAATGGCTTAAGGGAGTGGAAAGGTTAAGGGAAAATTCTGTTAGGATAGGGGAAACATGAGAATGTTAGTAAGCAGAAGGAAAGAACCAATAGAGAAAGAAAGATGAGAAAGACAGTGAGAGACACAGACACAGAGAAAAAGAGAGACAGAGACAGGGAAAGAGGGAGAGAAACACTATGAAGGTTCAAGGTAGACATAGGAGGTAATGGAAGTAAGGGTACACGTAGGGAAGCAGTCTCAGCAAATACTACATAAATCTGATCCTCTGAAACTGAAAAAAAGAAGGGGGTTGGAATAAATGATCTCTAAGGTACTCTGTGACTTTAAATCTATATATGAGGATATAAGAGAGATGAGGGGCTTCTCAATAAATATTCCATACTCAAGATGTGAGGCCATATACTGAGAAAAAGGAAGGTAGAGAAAGAGGGGGAAGCTTGAGGACAGGAGATTTGGAATTACTTCTCTGGAGAGGACAATAAGAAAATGCGTCAAAGATCAATGAAAGGGACATCTGGGTCATATGACAAATAAGGCAGAAAACTAGATGTTTTCTCTGATCACACAATTTATCAAACCTCTCCAAAACAGAAATTATGCAGCAGAGATAAAACAATTTCAGCTGTCTCCATTCTCACCCAGAATAAAAAAAAAAAGATTTAAAAAACTGAATTGATGCCTATCTTGAACTCATTTAGCACCCTCCCTCACCTCCCAAGGTACCAGCAGCAGGGTTATACTAGCAAACATAAGAACACAGCCCCGAGGCTTGTGACAAAACCCAGCCTCACACCCTGGTCTCCTCTCCTTCTCTTCAGTGGCATAGGGATGCCAACTCCCACCTGTGGAAGTTTGTTTAGGTCATGACAGGCAGATGGTGTTGTAGCAGGCCTCCAGGCTGTTGCTACCATGGCAGAATTCTGTTCTGAAAAAAATATCTCTGGAAAGCAGAGAAGCTAGAGAAAAGGACAAGGGTCAGGTCTGGGGATTGAAATAAAGTTCAACCCCAGACCCCCAACTCAACCTCATCCCAGATCCTTGGAGACCCAAATTTGAACAACAGACATTCCCCTCCAGCTTAGGTAGAAATGGGGTAGCCATGCTCTGAACTACCAAGTCAGATACCTGAGGAACAGAGGGAATATTTGGGAGCTTAGTGTAGTCCATTACACAAAGCCTGAGGGAAAACTAGATAATTATAAAGGTCATGAACCAGAGCTTGAGAGTTCAGAGGAGACAGAAAAATAGAATGGATAATAAAGAAAATAAGAGAAGCTCTCTAGAAAGAGGTGAAAAAAAATAACATTTGAAAAAAAACCCTAATAAATAGGACTAGTTGAAGGGGAGGAGAGGAAAGGGTTATCTACTTGACTAATTGAGAAAGAAAATAAGGGAAAAACAAATTAAAAACCATATAAAAACAGAAAAGAAAGAACTAATAAACAAAATTCTAAAGGAAAAAGGATAACAAAAGGGAGGAGATCAGAGGTGAAAGAAATTGGGCCACCTTAAAAGAAATAGGCTTAAGTAATTGAAGAAATATGGTACAGTGTTTGCAGCAGGAGAGAGAAAAAGTCACAAATGAAAAACTCATTAGAGACAAATTGAGGTGAGAAAATATAAACCTAATTCTCATAACTTTAAATGTGAATGGATTAAACAATCCCAAGAAAATGAAAAAGAGTGACAGATTGAATAAAAAACCACAAAACAGTACCTTCTGCTTCTTACAAGAAAACACATTTTAAAAACAGACATACATAAAATAAAGCTGAGGGAATTGGGGGGGGGGCAGAATTTACCATGCATCAAGTGAATCCAAAAAAGCGAAGTTGCAATCATGCTACCTGAAAAAAGCAAAAACAAACATTCAAAACATAAAAAGGTACAAACAAGGAAACTTTATTATGCTAAAAAGAATCATAGAAAATAAACCAATATCAGTAATAAACTAATATTTCTCCAAATGCTTTAGCATTCAAATTCATAAAGGGAACATTAACTGAGCTGTAAGAAAACATAGACAGTGACGCAATAGTGACAGGAGACATCAATATCCCTCTTTTAGAAAGATAAACCAAAGGGGAAATATGGGATTAAACAGAGTGCTGGAGAAACTAGAGTTAAAAGACTTATGCTGTCTTCTAAATGGAACTGCTAAAGAATATGCATATTTCTCAGCACTATATGGAATTTTTACAAAAACTGACCAGGCATAAGGGCACAAAGATATCACAAACAAATATAAAAAGTCAGAAATATTCAATACATCCTTTACATACCATAACATAATTAAAAATAGTCATAGATTCAAGGACCATAATGGAATGTTATGGATTCAAATAGAGATTTAACAATGAAATCTTTAGTAATGGTGGGTCAAAGAACAAATCGTAGAAGCAATTAATAATTATGTGAAAGAAAATTATAATTATGAAACAGCAAATAATAATTTTTTGGATTCAGCTAAAGCATTCCTTAGAGGTAAAATCTTATCTCTGCAAACATACGTTAACAAAATAGAAAAAGAAAAGATTAATGAAACAAATATGTATTTTTAAAAAGTAGAGAACCAACAACTAAATCTCATTAAGGAGGGCAGAAAAACAAATCAATAAAATGATGAATGAGCAAGGTGAAATCACAAGGAGAAAAAAACTAAAAGAAACAAAAAGAATAATCAGAACATATTATACACAATTATATGCTAATAAAATAGAAAACCCAAAATAAATAGAGGAACATCACTAAAAAATGAAATACCTAAGCTAGAAGACCAGAAAGATATCTTAAATACTCCAATCTCAGAAAAGGAAATAGATCTGAGCAAAAAGGAACAAGAAATAAAAAACTCCTTATCCTGGTGAATTCATGGGAGAATTTTATAAAATTTTAAAAGAATAGTGAGTGCCCATATTTCACAAATTGTTTTGAGAAATGACTACAAAATAAAACCTCAAAACTTAACAATATTTCTCTATAATAAGAAAACACAAGAAGCAAAAACAGAAAGAAAAATTCTGCTACAAATAACTACAAAATGCATAATGTATCTGGGGATTGACCTACCAAAGCACAGATAAGACTTATATAGATTCAATTACAAAATGCTCCTTAAAGAAACAAATAACTTAAATATCTGGAGGAATATTCAAGGCTCATGGCTAGGCCATGCCAATCTAATAAAAACAATAATGCTAACAGAGTTGATATACACTTTTAATGCTATACCAATCAAATTACCAACACGATGCTCTATGCAATTTGATAAAATAGCAACAAAATTCATTTGGAAAAACAAAAAAAATCTAGAATATCCAAGGAAATGATGAAAAGAAATAGGGATGAAGAGGAAAAAGCACTTCTAGACCTCAAACTATATTATAAAGTAGCAGTCATCAAAATTGTCTAGTATTGGTTAAAACATAGAGAGACAGATCAGTGGAA